TCTTCCAATTCCTTCATTTGGTGAGTCAAATATTTCATAGGAGTTGGATGACACAAGTGCAAGACCGGCAACACCTTGAGCTTGATGTAGTTGTCGGAGTTAGAGTAATAGCTTCTCTCGATGTAGTTGTCAGAGTCGGAACCACCCATTCACCAACTTGAGCTTGATGCCTTTGTCTTGTGTCGCCCTTTGATGACTTGTCCTTCTTTTTTGAATCTTTGCTTCTACGAGAGGGTATTTGTTCATAACAATCATCTCTACTCCTTCTCTCTCTTGGAGGTGATTCATCTCTTTTAATCCTCATTTTTGGTGAATCTTCCCTTCTCTTGTAGGGAGTTGTACACTCATTGGAGTATTGTCTGGGTCTTCCACAATTGTAGCAATTACGATCACGACTAGAAGATCTTTTGTCATTGTAGGACCTTGACTTCGATCTTCTCTCTTTACTTCTATTCTTGTATACCTTGTTGAAGTTCTTCACCATTAAGCTCAATTCTTCATTGGATACTCGCTTCCCGCTTGATGTTGTAGGAGCATCACTTGAAGCTTTGTATGCACCACTTGACTTGTTGTGGAGCTCTTCCTTATCCTTGAGTGACATCTCATGAGCAACAATTCTACCAATGACTTCCGTGGACTTGAGATCTTTGTAATTGGCCATCATTTGGATCAAGGTGCATACGGCATCATATTTTCTATCCAAGGCTCTTAGAATCTTCTTGATGATGAATTTGTCGGTCATCTCTTCACTTCCTAAGGTGGCAATCTCATTTGTGATGAGAGCAAGCCTAGAGTACATTTCGGTGACTCCTTCACCATCCTTCATCTTGAACTTGTCTAGTTGACTTTGAAGCACATCCAACTTGGATTCCTTGACGGACTTGGTACCTTCGTGCATATCAACCAAGGTATCCCAAATTTCCTTTGCATTCCCAAGATGGCTGATTTTGTTAAATTCTTGGGGCACAATCCATTGAAGAGAATATCGCAATCTTGAGCATTGTATTGCAACATCTTCATTTCTTCCGCTGTCACTTCATGATCCGGTTCTTTTCCATCCTCGAAGAAATCACCTTGCAAGCCAATACGCACAACAGCCCAAACGGCGGGGTTATGACCAAGAACATGCATTTTCATCTTATGCTTCCAACTAACAAAATTAGTACCATCAAAGTAAGGACCTCTACGGTGGTAATTTTCATCACTAGACTCCATACTCTCCTAGGTTGTGAAACTGAGGCTATGATCACCAAATCAATGAAAATCAAGGTAAAAGGAGACCAAAGCTCTGATACCACTTGTAGGATCGAAAGTATGTCTAGAGGGGGGTGATTAGACTACTTGACCAAATGAAAATCTAACCTTTTCCCAATTTTAGTTGTGAGCAGATTTTAGCAACTATCACAAGTGAAGCAATCAACCTACACATGCAATTCTAAGAGTGTAGAAGAAAAAAGTAAAACATTGCATATGAAGGTAAAGGGAAGGGTTTGGAGAAGGAAAACGCTATGGATACATGAAGATTATTGGCGTGGTTCTGATAGGTGGTGCTATCGTACATCCATATTGATGGAGACTTCAACCCACAAAGGGTAAGGGTTGTGCGAGTCCATGGAGGGCTCCACCCATGAAGGGTCCACGAAGAAGGAACCTTGTCTATCCCACCATGTGTTGTGGTTCAACATGGCCACCTATGGGGCCATCGGCCCCTTGTGGTTCAGCAATGGGGAAGGGCGCGTTGCACAAAGAGAGGAGACCATAAGGCAGCACGACAATGGTGACGCATTGGTTTTTACCCAGGTTCAGGCTGCCGCGAGGCGTAAAACCCTACTCCTGCTTTGCTAGATTGATGGGGGGACCGTGATGAACACGCGGCGCTCAAGCCCAGCAAGGTCGCCTTAGGACGAGAGCAGCTTTGCACATATGCGTGTACAAAGGTATGAATCCTTTCTAAGGTTGCCTCGTCCCTCCTTTTATAGGTCAAGGGGTTATCAAAGTGGAAAACTAGTCACTACGGACTGATAGATAGAAAATAGTGCTATCATACCTAACTCTGTTGACAGGACAAGGCGCATTAAATTCACCACTTAGTGTCACGTCATGGGCGTAGCCCGACAAGCCTTGAAGTGCTATTCAACCACCTTCTCGCCTGCCTGCGTGACACGCCTCTGGACGGGCATCATTTAGAGGTGATCTTCCTTACAAATGGTTGTCACATGCCAAATGAGTGCCACTTAATCACCTGGGGACTTGACACCGCACTGATAGGTGACTTGCGTTGCTGTGAGGTGGAGCGGTGGAGCCTTGGTGGGGTGATCCGCCCTCGGCGTCCTCGGCAAGCATGCCGGGGGAGTCTTGAGACTTGTCTTTGGTGTGGCCTCCACCTGACCGGGCTCGCCTGCCCGGCAAGGGAGGTTTTTCCTTAGTGATAGCTTGCTCCTTTGGCTTGTCTTGTTCTTCTTGATCCGCCCTTTAATTTCTCAAACATCTATCTTTTCTGCTTGGCCCTGTCTTGGAAACTTGGCGCTGCCGTGGAGGAGGCCTGCTATCCGTGCACAAGTCAGGGGGAACATACACCCCTGTTTGTGTACCCTGACACCATGCCCATCGCCCACGAAGGACTTGCCTCACTTGGGTAGATCTTCACAAAGTACGCGATCTCCTTGCTCTTACAAATTCTTGGTTCAACTCCACAACTTGACAGAGGCTCCCAAGTGACACCTAACCAATCTAGGAGACACCACTCTCCAAAAGGTAATACATGGTGTGTTGATGATGAACTCCTTGCTCTTGTGCTTCAAATGATAGTCTCCCCAACACTCAAAAACCTGTCATAGATTTGGATATGGTGAAAAGATGATTTGAGTGGAAAGCAACTCGGAGAAGGCTAGAAATCAAGATTCTTGTGGTAGGATTGGAATATATTAATCTCAACACGTGAGTAGGTGGTTCTCTCTCAAAAATGTATGGTGGAAGTGTAGGCACGCATTCTGATGGCTCTCTCAAATATGGAGAAGGGGTGGAGGGGTATATATACCCTCCACACAAAATCCAACCGTTACACACATTTGACCCATCTTGGTGAGACCGAATAGTTAAACTCGGTGGGACTAATTAGTTCAAAATTTGAATGTGAGGAATCTTGGTCGGACTGGCTGCAACAACTCAGTGGGACCGATGTGCTAGGTCTTAGGGCAAACCTCATCTCGGTGGCGCCAATTGCATCAACTTGCTGAGATCAAAGTGAAGCAATAGGGCAACAGAGAATTTTTCAAGCCATCTCGGTGAAGCCGATTGCAATTTCTGTGAGACCAAAATAAATGCAACTGATAACAGGGAGTTGGCAAGGCCATCTCGGTGAGACGGATATCCGTATACGTGTGACCAAAATGTTATGGTTTGTGGCTGTGGCTATGTCATATGAATTCGGAGGCACCGGATAGAAAGAATGGGTGGGGCCGAGTTGGAGTTTTGGGTTTTGACATATTTGGATGGAGAAAGTGGTTGAGGGTTTAGCAGCAATATCACTAAGCATTTGAGCAAGTAATCCATTAAGCAACACTCATCCCCATTTAATAGTATTGGCTTTGCTATAGAGTCTTGAGCTTTTGCCAATATATGTCCTTAGCATTTTGAGGGGTCCATTATTTGAACTTCCTGAAATATTCCTCTTGAGTGGATATTAGTTCAATGAGCTATATGTCATTATGAATTACGAAATCCACCCGGGAATTAGTTGCACTTTCAATGCCTCTAAGCTTAAAATTGTTGGAGTCGCCTCCATGCTAAGAGGCTGCCTCGAAGCATTTTTTTGATTATGATAATCTTCTGTCCCTGCCTATCATCATGGTGATTGAAGTTTGCATGCTGATCTGGTCAAGAGAGGAACATATATTTTAATTTGTGGTGGGATAAATGTTAGAGGTTGCAGCCAATATTGTACACCGCTGGTCTTTTGCCAAGTTTAGAGGCAGGCATGTGGGGCCCATGTTAGAGGCAGTGGTGCCTCCAAACACTCGAGGTGCTCTCCCCTGTGATAAGTTTACTATCACATGTTCATACTTCAAGGTGCAATAAATCAACAGATGCAAGGATCAACATTAAACTTACGGCATGCCACGACAAGAAATATGTCAACTTGCGACCATCACTATTGGTCGCTGAAAGGTCATTGTTTTTCATTTGCGATCTTTTTGTGACCAAAAATAGAAGGTCAAAAGCTGGCAGTCGTAAACTGAAATTCACGACCTTTTCTGTGAGAAGGTCGTGGAATTCCATGACCAAAACAAAAGGTCGTTGATACTATGACCTTCTGTTTTGGTCACTAGTTGTCTGCCCACACCAAGTCGGAACTAACGTGGCAAGCTGACGTGGCAAAATTGCGACCAATTGTAAAGGTCGTTGACAAGATTCAGCCCGGTCTGATTCGGTGTTTTACATGGGCTGAGCCCAACAATTCAGCCTTTTATATTGTTCCCTATTAATTTCAGCATGGACCATACCCAACAATTCGGTATTTTTGTTAGGTTCTTCCATACTAGGGGGCCTCGGCCTTTTTTGCAGTATATTTCTTTTTTTATTTTCTAAGGGTTTTTTGTTTCGTTTTTTAAACACTCCAATGCTTGTTGGGTTGTGGCCTTTTCTAGCCCAATTATTTGTCCAATATTAGGTCTTAGATTTTGAAAAAAATGTTTGGAGAAAATTCTTTGGGCACAAGACCTCTTTAATCTAGTTATACACATGCATCCGACCTTGTTCATATTCAAATCAGGAAAACTCCATGTCGAATTGAAATCATGCATCATATCACATCACATAAGACATCTCCCAGGTTTACATAACACAACAAAATCATCTCAGAAATACATTTACACATGAATATAGCAGGAACAGAGGGAATATCTGCTACTATGCTGACATGTACGTATATGCATGTGTCTTGCTTGACCGGCGCATGCATCACGGTAGCAGCCAAGCCAGTTGGCATCATCAACATCTACTCACAGCTTTCCTCGCACCGGAGAAAGAGTCAAAACAAAAAATATTAGACCATAATATGACAGCAGACCATGGATTAGTAACTTTAAATCACAAAGTATATCCACATCACCATAAATTAGTCCCAGACCATCACGTAGAAGCCAAATACTATTAACTGATGATTAGTACACACAGACATGATTCAACGACATAATGGCTACCACAAGCAAAAGTGAAATCTGTGTAAGCAAGCTGCTAGTGTACACAAGGTGATTGAACTCCTGCTGTTTAGTACGCATACATGGTACGCTACTGCTGCTAGTGTTCTAAACCAACAGAGCATGCTACAGGAGCAGAAAAGCAGGAGCTAGGGCTAGAAGATGGAGCCGACTCACCGGAGGGCTTGTGGTCGCCGCCGTACATAACCGCCATCATGCCAGTCACCTCAAGAAGCACCACCGCGCCGGAGTCGGTGCCAGACGTGTGCAAGAGAAGAGCACCTGCTGCATCCATTTCCAAATAGAACACGAACAAAAAATTAGGAAGGGCTGCAAACAAATTAGGAAGGGTTTCAAAAAAGGACAGTCATTTAAAATGACAACAGAAATTCAGCTAGTACCATGCTTTTCGTTCTCCAGCTAGTCAAAATGAGATACTCATTCATACAAGAAAACATAGACACAATATGAATATTAATTGCACAAGTGCAAGTCATGCAAAATACTTCACTGCAACACATTACGCTTAAACTTCGCATAAGATATAATTGATAAAAATCAGTGTGCTGCTACTGCCATTGGAAAACCGGCACCGAATTGAGCGGTAATAGAGATATATTTGATAAAAATCAGTTTGCTGCTACTACCATTCAAAATCTAACTGACCAACTGGTTCGAACACTAGGCAAACTAAGATAGAAACGAGTAAACCGACACCCAATTGAGCGGTAACAGAGAGGGGAGGGGAGACATGCAACTTATAGCATCACTCATGGACTTCCACTTCTCACCACCGGCCTTGCTGATCTGTAATTCAACCAAGCTAAACCATATCAGGACACGGAATTAACGAGGAAACTCATCTCGCAGCGCCACCAGTTTGAACGAACAACGAGACAGAGGCGGATGGGGGACGAAGCGGTAGAAACGAGTAAACCAACACCCAATTGAGCGGTAACAGAGAGGGGAGGGGAGACGTGCAACTTATAGCATCACTCATGGACTTCCACTTCTCACCACCGGCCTTGCCGATCTGTAATTCAACCAAGCTAAACCATATCAGGACACGGAATTAACGAGGAAACTCATCTCGCAACGCCACCAGTTTGAACGAACAACGAGACAGAGGCGGATGGGGGACGAAGCGGAACCGAGACGCTTACCACGGAGACCTTCTTGATGTCGGGGTGATTCTCCTTGTACTCCTTCCTGAAGTTGTCCCTGCAAAGATGAAACATGCACCAAATCCTCGGTCAGTACGCGACACCACACCACAGAAGCAACATGAATCGAACCAAGAACCGAGACTGGGACTCAGATGAAGATGAAAAAAGCGCTCGGGGACACGTGGGCTTGTTGGGGTCCTTCTCAGCCTTGATCTTCTTCATCGCAAGCCTGCGCCACCACAACGGAAATAACAACAGCAAACCAAACCGAGTCAGAACCCGATGTGAAATAGCAGCAGCCACCACGGGAAACAAAAACAAGACGGGGAGACGACGGAGGGAGGGGTCGGGGCACTGACCTAGAGTTGCCAGCGTGGGAGCCCGCCTTTGTTACTATGTTAAAGAAAGTTGATTTGCCAACATTGGGTAACCCCACTTGCATGAAACATCATTAGTAAACTTCATATATCCTCTTATTCCTCTACTTGGCAACAACAGAATAGTGCGCCAATCAACATTCAACAGAATAGTAGTCCATTATGATTTATGATGAAATCCGAGATTGAATAAGGGATACAAGGGCAAGTACTGTTAAACACCATCAATGAAACTAGAGAAGTGCGGCACTAGCAACTCATGAAACTTCTTGAACAGTAGTAGTACATAGTAACATGCTAGTGTTGTCCAAGCAGACTGAGTTACATGCATAAAACTACAATTCATCCACCCTGAGCAGTCAAGATAAACACATGCCAAATCTAAATCCATGACCAACTGCAGCTTCTTCTTTTATAGTCTACAACAACATAGTTCAGTAGGAAATCAGAATAGAATTGGATAGCGCCGCCCACCTGATTGAGTGAGCCCCATGAATTGTTGCTTGACTTGACTTGAGAAAGCGATAGTACGCTGAAGGAATAAGCTATAGTCTAGGTCAATCAGATGCAGTCATCTTTGACTCCAGTTATTAATAGTATTCTGGAGTACATTGCTTGATGTAATAATCTAGTTCAATTCAATTTCAAGTTTCAATTTCAATTTTAGCAGCGTAATAATTACTTATAACTTGCTTGTCTTTAACTGATAGAAATACATTTACACTTTGAAACAGAGGGAACCTGAAATGGACTATGTTAAAATCCCGCTGTGGTCACTATCGACAACATTATTTCGGCTAAAATGGACTCATCATCACATCAATTCACTATTGTTTCCTTCCGCATTTTTTATTCTAATGCGCCTCGAAATTCCTTGATTCTCATACCAGGAATACAATCAACTAACGGCTCAAAGCCAAGAAACAGCACTTGGGTGCAATGACAACACACAAGAAACTGCCATCATCAAACACTAATAAAAAAGATTAGATGATCCCAAAGTGAGTGACAAAATCTCATTATGACATCATCACTCATTTGGACTGCAAGCCCAATGCGATGCATACAATGCAAGTTTAAAAAGAAATCAATCATCTAAACATGGTACTTGAGTCGCATGACATTTCCTCTCAAAACCAGGACTCTCTTCTACACATAACATGATGTTCCTTTCTAATATGTGTGGATTTCAATATAAAGAGTGGAAACAAATACTGATGATTCAACAAGTTAAAGTAGAAAAAAAAATAGTCCTTGTCTTGGCAAAATGGACATATACTCTTTACAAAGTCCATGGCTAATGATAATCCAACTCTGCCCCAATATCCACACTTCACAGAGATGCATCCAGCTTAAAGCCTAAACAGTTATACAATGGGGGCCTGAAATAGAAAGCCTGCCAGCTACGTTTTGACATAATTTCTTAACGTTAGATGCCAATCCCTTTTGGTGGATGTTTATATACAAGGACAACACAACGGTACTACACCCACCACTTGTGCATCGTGACAACCAAATCTGAATCCACCTTGTGAGACGTCGCACTATGCCACAACAGTCAGTCTCTATGCCAACAGTTACAGTTCCAGATAACAAAATCCTTGGTCGAATTGACACAAAACAACTATAGGAGACATTAAACATCACTTAGAGGAGATGCCCCAAATTACTGACCAGTATAGCTTTCAAACTATAAGAAGCAAAATAGGGACATCTTTTAAACTCACGCTTTCAAACTATAAATATAGCAGTGCATAGTACAGAGCAAAACAGGGACATCTCATCGCCAACAACATGAATAATTCAGGGCCTACTATGCAACACAAGGACATTTCCATGACACATAAGATGCTGAACATAACACAGCGCATGGTAAATGTCAGAGAGCTCATATGTTGAACTCATAAGCATGTCAAGTCCGCTTGCGGCCTAAACAGGTACATGCAGGAGGCAGGGAGGAGGGAGCGAGCATGCAGATGGGACCTGGAGGGTCGTGTAGTCATGGGCGAGCTTGTAGTCCTTGTAAGGAAGTAGCCACCGCTGTCAGCCGCCCTAGTCGACCCGACCTAGACGCTGCCGATCGTGTTCTTGCGGCCACTGCACCACCCATATCCTGAAAAACCAGACACACAACAAAAAGGTTAGATCTGAGTCATATATGCTGCGGATAACCGTGAGAAGAAAATGGAGGAGTGGATCTGCGGCCGGCGCTGTCGGGGAAGAAGGTGTCCGACGGCGGCCTTGTTGGGGAGGAGGGAGAGTCGAGGAAGCATCCAGGCAAAGAGGAGGGATCCGGTCCAGCAGCAGCCATTGGGAAGCGACAAGTCGGAGACACAGCTGTCTCAGATTGGTAGATGTCAGGGGGGGAGGCTGTAGAGTCACCGGAGCCATGCCGGCAATGGAGGCGCCACTGCCCCCAAAACCCTAGAGCCACGGGGAAGGCTGCGGGTGAGCTGCTGCGGGAGGAGGAAGGGGGGCGGGTGGCCTAAGGGAGAATGACCGCCGGCATCGAGGGAACGGAGCAGGGGAGGGGGCGGATCTGGCCGCCGCCATGGCCATGGTCGTGCCATGCGGCTAGGTCTAGGTCACGAGCGAGAAGGGAGCGCGGATCCGACCGCGGTCGTGGGAGAGAAGGGGAGGGGAGGGGTCGCCGGCGGACGAGGTTGGGGGAGAGGACGAAGGACGGCGGCAGTGGTGGTCGGGGATCGAGAGATTGAGACGGAGGAGGAGCGAGAGGGTTGGGGGTCGCGGCTGTGGGACAAGAGGAGGAGAAGTGTGGTTGTGTCAGGATTTTTTTGAGACACCGTGCGGGCTGTGTCAGGTGTACGTGGGTGAGAGGGTGAGGGGTGTGGGCTGCCGTTGGATCCCGGCCATCCAATGGTGGTTTGTGCACGATCCGCGTGAAATGCCAATGGACCAATCACAATGTAGTACGCACTCTGACGATTTTATAACCATCTAAATTGGTCGTAATCGATTAAATAATATGCTAAATCATGTCAGCTATTTTATAACATCATAGAATTAGAAAAAAGTAAGAACAATAGAAAATCTTCGCATCGTGTCACAAGTGAGACTTGTTTTTCAGAAAAATAACAAACCTGGAATAATACAAATATCTTTAAAATTGTTCTAAAAAATTAGTTTATTTTGCAAAAAAACATTTTCTATCTTTGGAGTGTCAATAATGGTATATATTTTTTGAAGCACCTACCAATATTTGTTGCAAAATAGCACAACTCTATTTTTCAATAATATTAGACCATATTTTAGGTGCAATTGACCAAATGCTTGTGTCTCAATAGCTGTCTATCCACCTCTCATCAAATTGACAAAATTCTGAAGATTCAGTTGGAAGTGGGTCAAATTTGTTCAAAAGGTCTCATATTGTGCAGAAGGGTGCATCTTGGAATGACAAACAATGTTGCCTACGGGAGTTTTCATTTTCTTTGGACGAAAAATACATTTTCCATTTTCTGAATGCCCAAAATGAGTTTTTTTGTGAAGGATCTACCTATGTATTTGTTGCAAAATTGGACCAAATCAATTTTATAAAATATTAGGCCATATTTAATACACAATTGACCAAATAGTTGCGTGTCGAAAGTTTCGACCCACCTCTGGTGAAAAAGACAAATTTTCACCGATCTAGTTGGAAGCGGGTCAAGTTTGAAGTGCAGCTCTCTTATAGTTTGCTCTTTATTTCTTCCAAAAATCATTTCTAGGTACATAAGTATCTATTTAATAAGAGAAATATCAAAAAAAATTCAGTATTCAACCACTAGCTAGGAACGGTCAAGCCCGCCATTTTTGACTGCATTTTGAAACGGGCATAAAAAATAAAAAATAAAAAAAATTGGAAAACCTTCCCATTGTGTCATTATATGTGACCAAGTTTCCGGGGGAAATAATAAACTTGTAATACGGAAATTACTTTAAAAAAATGTTCTCAGAAACGAGCCATCATGCGTGAAGATTCATGGCTTTCAAGCCAAATGATCAATCGTATAGCCACATTCATGGCATAGTTTATTCAAATGATCTCATATTGTGCACAAGGGTGAATCTTGGAATTCCAAACGATGTTGCCTAACGGAGTTTTCATTTTCTTTGCACGGAAAATTTATTTCCCATTTTTTGAGTGCCCAAAATGTGTTTTTTTTGTGAAGGACCTACTATATATTTGTTGCAAAAATGGACTAATCAATTTTATGATATATTTAATTCACAATTGACCAAATGGTTGGGTGTCGAAAGTTTCGACCCACCTCTGGTGAAAAAGACAAATTTCCGCTGATCCAGTTGAAAGCGGGTCAAGTTTGAACTGCAGCTCTCTTATTGTTTGCTCTTTATTTTTTCCAAAAATCATTTCTAGGTACATAAATATCTATTTAATAAGAGAAACATATTTTTTTCCAATATTCAACCACTAGCTAGGAACGGTCAAGCCCGCCATTTTAACCGCATTTTGAAACAGGCATAAAAAATTCAAAAGAATTCAAAAAATTGGAAAACCTTCGCGTTGTGTCATTATATGTGACCAAGTTTCTAGGAAAAATAATAAACTTGTAATAAGGGAATTATTTAAAAAAATGTTCTCAGAAACGAGCTATCATGCGTGAAGATTCATGGCTTTCAAGCCAAATGATCAATCTAATGGCCACATTCATGGCATAGTTTGTTCAAATGATCTCATATTGTGCACAAGGGTGCATCTTGGAATTCCAAACAATGTTGCCTAAGGGCGTTTTCATTTTCTTTGCACGGAAAATTCCTTTTCCTTTTTTTGAATGCCCGAAATGAGTTTTTTTGTGAAGGACCTATCATATATTTGTTGCAAAATTG